CATGGGCTGGACTATGGCCTCGCTAGGAAGGGTCATGGACCGCCAAGGAGTTCATTTATTTCTTTCTCTTTACTATAGGACTACGCCGAAATTAAGCTTCATTTCAAAGGAAGAGCATTCGACTGTTTAAGACCAAGACAGAATTATTTTTAAATACTGTAGTTAAGAAGGCAGATTCTGAAACAAGCTGTCCACCACTTCTTAGCCGTGTTGCGCTGGGTAAACACTTACTCTCTCTGTGCCTCAGTTTCCACATGTAACATAGGATCATTAGACTTCCCACCTGTGTTGGTTTGCCGGGGCTGCCACACCAAAGTACCCCAAACTGAGTGGTTTACACAACAGAAATTTATTTATAGCCTCCCAGTTCTGGAGGCTAGCTTTTACCAGGAGGAAATATTTGCAAGATGCTGATTTTACACGACTGTAAAACAAAGCATTATAGTCACTGACAGCAACAAAACATTGCAATTAACGAGTGAGCTATTTTCTCGAAAACCTGTTTCGCCAGCTTGCTTTCCCCTGACAGGAAGCCTGAGGTAGACAGGTGTGGACATAGAGACTTCCAAAGAACATCGTTTCCAGATGATGTTATTGCAACAGCCTGCTACGTGTTCTCCGTGCCTCTGGTCTCGTTCCTTCCAAACTGATCTCCACATTTCAGCGAGGACTTTCCTTCTGTAAATGGGAATCTGATTGCACGTCTCTCCCATCCACAGTCCTGTAATTTTCCGTAGCCTCAGCATCCTTGCTAGCTTCAAACTCCATCCTTAGCTGCCTCTGCCTTCCAGCCTCAGGTCTCACCCATCTCAGGGTTCCGTCCACTTTACACCCTAGATTCCCCATTACCACCTGCTCTCTCGGTGCCTCTACTCTTGCACTGGGCCCCTTCTGTCAGGAATATGCTCTCCGGTACCCTACTCCTCCCAACTTTACCTTCAAGACTCAGTTCAGACATTAAGTCCTTGCAAATTCTTCCCAGATCAACCCAGCTGGGTCCCAGACCTTCTCCTGCACACCCACTATTCTTGGGTCTCTCAGGACCACCGACTTCTTCACACTTGTTATCGCCATTTCTGGTCCATGTGCCAGGATGACCCATAAGCTTCTTGGGGACAAGGACTGGCTTTCATTTATACTTCCTGTTATATAACTGGTGCTCAATCAACATTTGTTGAGAGAATGAATAATTTGTTGAGAAGTGAATGAGCCACAATTTAATATTATAAATAATAAGGGCATGGCTCTGTACTCTGTCATGAGTGTCTATCCCCTTATGTTCCCAGACATTCAGGGGCCCTTGCGAAGGAGCTCTGGCCATTCTCAGCTCTGTGCCCTCCTCTCTCCCAACTCCCAGTTTCCTGGGGAGCCTGGACCCCTTGCCGAGGCTTTACCTTTGTTATGGGTGGATATTTAAATGTGCTTCAATGTGGGTGGCTGAGAAATACAGGGTGGGTGGGAAGAAAGGGCATAAGCTAAGATAGAAGGAGGTTAAGTCTAAAGAGTGTTCTGGGGCTTCCCTGGTGGCGCAGTGGTTGAGAGTCCGCCTGCCGATGCAGGGGACGCGGGTTCGTGCCCCGGTCCGGGAAGATCCCACATGCCGCGGAGCGGCTGGGCCCGTGAGCCATGGCCGCTGAGCCTGCGCGTCCGGAGCCTGTGCTCCGCAACGGGAGAGGCCACAACAGTGAAAGGCCCGCGTACCGCAAAATAAATAAATAAATAAATAAAGAGTGTTCTGGAAAGCTGGGGAGAAAAACTGTGAGTGGGAGGAAGAGAGAGGGGAAGGCTTTGTGTTATGAGTCCTAGTTCCAGGACAGAGTAGGACCGAGCCTAGCACTGCCTCTTCATTTTCTCTCCACTATTACCAAATGTCGGACTTTGCCCTGAATTTCCACAAGCAGTCCCCCTGATGAAGGCAAACGCGTGGAAGCAAGAAATAAAATAAAATAAAAGCTCTGTGCTGGTGAGCACCCAATAGCAGATGCCCCGAGCAAACAGATTGTAGTGAGGCGCGGGAACTGCCTTTCTCACAGAAATGTTTGGATACAGAGAACTTAGTGGTCATTCTCTGGAGGCCCATATGTGCAAGAAATGCCCCAGAGACCGGCCAGGCTCAGCAGATGGGGCCCGATGCTGGTGTGTTAGGAGAGGCCAGCTGTCCCAACGCCGAGTGAAGCTAGGCTCTCCCCTGCTTTCTGTGTTTCTGGCTGCCTGGAGGTGTTGGGGCCGCTTCCGCCGCCCCATGGGCGAAAGAGCACTGACGCTGAGGCCTTGAGAACACACAGAATCAACACTGGGCCATCCTCGCCATGGGGTGTGTCCCCCGTCTTCGGGGATTGCCATTTAGGGGGCTTCAAGGTGGGAAGGCAGCTACTCCTTGCACCTCGACCCTCTGCATCTCATTAACTATTCACCATCACCCTCAACTCCCCCAGTAGAGATGGGGAGCCATATGTGTGTCTCTGGATGAGGCGCCCTGTTCAAAACAGGCTTCAGGCCAAGCAGCCCACGTTCTTTCCCTCAGATAAGAAATTCTCGGGAATTCCCTGGCGGTCCAGTGGTTATGACTGCACGCTTCCACTGCAGGGGGCACGGGTTTGACCCCTGGTCAGGGAGCTAAGTTCCCACATGCCGTGAGGCGTGGCCAAAAATAAATAAATAAAATAAATAAACTGATGTTTCTCAAATATTTAAAAAATATAAATAAATAAATTCTCAAGTGTTCTCCACCCTGGTGCTGACTCTGTAAGTCATATGGGCACAAACATGGGTAGGGTATGGACAGATCCCAAGCAAAATACCCTCATTGTCTTACCAGGCTCATTCAACCCTTTCATCACAGGAAGAGAAAGTGCTATGGGTACCAAGGAATGCCAGGATCACAGCCTGGGAGAGGACCTGATTTTAAGCAGTGACCTTGTGCAAGACAAAGGTCTGGTTGGTAAACTCTTTTGTCCAGGGAGTACTACCCAAGTGGTGAATTCTGACTGGTGAATGGCTATTGATCCTGCAGTTTCTGAGCTGATTTTCCAGCTCTGCTGGAGTGCTATCCCCTTTCACCCAGACTGTTAGCTGCACTCCCTTGGCTGGGCTCCCACAGCTCCCATGCGTGGGCTGCTGCTATGTGGCACAGACCTTCTCTCCTCCCAAATGGGAACATCTGGAGGGCATGGCTCGTTTTCCTCTCACAGCTGTTTCTTAGCACCTGAATCACCCATTTGGTCCTCCTGTCTCCAGAGCAGTTGTTTGGGCTAATTCTGCTGCCTTGTGATTGGGTTGAAAAGTGAGTGCTTGGAGAGCTGGATTCTGGTCCTTTGATGACAGTGCCTTTTTACCTGGGATGTTAGGTTAGCTTGAATCTCCCTTGGTTTTCCTGGCTCCCTACAGCTTGCCTCTGCTTCTGTCCACAGAACATCTCACAAGGCAGGGGCAGATGGTGGCAAGAGAGATGCATTCTTGGTTGAGGAGGGGAATGTCCCAGGCAAGCTTTGCCCCACCACAGAAAAGGGCTCAGCCGAGCGAGCGATGAAGACCTGCCTGAGGTGACCGGCCAACCTCAGAAGCTTCAGATCTTCTGGTGTCTGGGCAAACTTGCTCTTTAGGAAAGGTCTTGGAAGGTTTAATGGGTTCAACAAATATTTATTGGATGCCTGCATCACACTGGGCTCTCGGGATGAGACGGACATGGTTCCTGGCCTAATGAAGTTTCTGTCTATAAGAGCAGGAAAGGCCTGGTGGAGGGTCAGTGAGTAGCAAGCTTCTCCCATCAAGCACTAGTCTCAAGAACCTGCCTTAGGCCGGTTCAGGCCTCTGCGCTCATGTTTAATTTCCCACTTCTCCAAACCTTCCTCCTTCTTCCTTCTATCATGTCCTGTGGACCTTGCTGCTTTCTCTGCATCCACCCTTTCCATTGTTCCTGCTTTTTTATCTTACTGAAAAGTCTGCCCAAATGGATAAAAATCCTGTTGCACATCCATACAATGACAGATTACTTAGCGCTAAAAAGAAATGAGATATCAAGCTGTGAAAATACATGCAGGAACTTTAAAAAGCATATTGCTACGTGAAAGAAGCCAGTGTGAAAACCCTACATCCTGTAGGATTCCAACTATAGGAGGAAAGTCTCTGTGGAAAAGGCAAAACCATAGAGACAGTAAAAAGGGTCACTGGTTGCCAGGGGTTTGGGAGAAAGGAGAAAGGGATGAATGGGTGAAGCACAGGGGATTTTTAGGGCAGTGAAACTATTCTTTATGACACTATAATTGTGGATGCACGACCTTATGCATTTGTCAAAACCATGGACCTGCACAACACAAAGAATGAACCTTAATGTAAACTATGGACTTTAGTTAATACTCATGTATCCATGCTGGTAATTGTAATAACTGTACCACAGTAATGCAAGATGGTAATAATAGAGGAATCTGTGCATAGGGGAGAGGTGGGAAATGGGAATTCACTATATTTTCTGTGCAATTTTTCTGTAAACCTAAGATTGCTCTAAAAAAATGAAGTCTGTTAAAAACAAACAAACAGGAAACAAAAACCTCAGCCCAAATCACCAAATTTCTCTTGATCCTCTGGTGTGGGCTCCACTGGGTCTTCACAGTTCACTGCCTGGCCTCTCTCTGCCTCCAGTGAGATCCGGAGATGTTCCGGACTTCCCATCAGTGCCACGCATCCTTGTCTCCGCCATCTTTTGCTCTCCCTTCCCACAGCCTCAGGACTGATATGTCATGTGACCAAGCCGCTCTGTCCTCGTGCTGCCCTTTTGATCTTCGCTCCCATGCCAAGCCCACACTCTCTCCCTGGAACACCCGGGGTCTAGAGGGGCCTTCATGTTGGTTTTTATGTTCACATGCCAGCTCCTCGCTCATCTCTTCTTGAAACAAGAACCTTCCCCTAAGATCTCCGTGCAGCCATTGATACCTTAATCATACTCCGTGCCTTCTGCCCATTTCCAATCCCAGAAGAGAAAAACCGAAAGGAAAGACTCAAACCTGACAAAGAGAGCGGAAAGTCTCTCACCGGTGGCCTTCCTGCCGTCTGTCACCCCACTCCCACTCCCGGCTGGAGCCTGCCGCATCTTTGTTATGTGTCTTCCAGGACAGTGGCCTGAGATGACATTCTCCTCTACATGTCCTCTCCTGACAAGGAGAGCATTGGGACTCTAACCAGTCATCTTTTTACAACCTGGGAAAAGGCACAACCCACTGTTAATAATTTATTTGCATATTAAAGTATGGAGGGTTGTTAATCATTGTTCAGTTATGGGGATAGGGCAGGCCAGACAATCTCTGGCTAAAAACATGAGGGCACACTTTGTCTCTGCAGGTTTCAAGGGTCAGAGCTTGGGGTCAGGGGAAGGCTTGCTCATGTGTGTCTATTGGGTTTGGCTGGGGGTGAGGGAGAGGACCTTAGTCTTTTAACAGGTTCTAAGTGAAAAGTCAAAGTTGATTTTGAAGGAAAATACTAATCCTCAAATTTCCAGAAAAGGCAGTCCATTAACTCCTGTGAAACAAAGGCACTGAAAAAGACCAAGAGAATGGCTTGGTCTGAAACCACAATCAACGGTCCCATACTGAGCCCACACTCCACGGAAGGCCACGCTGCGGAGTTTGAGCTCAATCCTGCAGGCGGCGAGGCGCCTATACGCTTCCTGGGAGGTGACAAGAGTGTGGCAGGATAAAAGGACAGGAAGTGAAGAGAGGAAATTCAAAGGAGAAAAAACAAAGGGAATGAAGGAATAGTCCTACTTTCTTAAAGGTTCTCATTCACATGCTATCTGCCTGCTCAGAAACTGGACACACATAGACAAAGGGGACTCATATACGAGAAGCACATTTGGGGATGTCTAAGGCCAACTGAGACCCTTGAAGGAATTCTCCAAAGGCTGGTTTCCCTGGGGAGGACCACCTCCTCACACCCTCATTCCTCATACCTTATCCCTTCCCCCTACCAGGAGAAGGCAGCAAGGGGAGCAGTTCCCCCGCAGTGCGGGCTAACGGAGGCCAAGGGACACCTGCCCTGAGCATAGAAGCCTCACTGGCCAGGAGGGTCTTGCTCTAGACTCTTAACTCCCCAGGCTTTGCAGAGAGAGAGAGTAGTGCCATGCACTTTGTAGCTCTAGAACCTGGTACATAGTAGTTACTCAATAAATGCTTAGGGAAGAAATGGCTGTATGACACTTAAGCCACCGCTTTAGGATAATCTCCTTCAAACTGCCTAGGCCAACTGTTCTCTTTTTGGATGTCGCAGCACTAAGGATTGTAATGCTCCTATGGGGCTGGGCATGGAAGGGATGATATGAAAGGCCTAGATTTCTCTTCCATCTCCTCCACCAACATAAGAGGATGCTTGGGGCACAGTAAACTGTCACGCTGCTGGGAGAATAGCTCCAAGTTTTCTGAAGGAGACACAGCAGGGTTGTGTGATATTTTTAGTAATTCCCTGGATCCCTGAGAGAAACACAGCAAAGAAAAGTAACCAGATTTTGCTCATCAGAGTAGAAATCCCCAATGTGTTCTGACTGTTCATGCCTCTGGCGGCCACAGGAAGCCATCACGATGGCATTTGAAAGAAGAGAAGTCCTCTGTTCCTTTGAGGAAGTTGCAAATGACTGCCCTACTTGGAAGTTCTTACAAAATCATACTCTGAAATGTGAAACTGTTTTGGGGTTGGCCTGTTGTACCTGAAGGTGGAGTCTTGAGTGGGAGAGAGGAATACTCTCTGTCAGGGGCTTAGAAGGAAAGTCAATATAGGGCAGGGGGAAGGCTGGGACCCCAGAGAGCAAAGCAGAACGGAGCCATAGCTGGTGAGGTTCAACTCCTTGAGCAGGTGGTTTCTGCTGAGACGACACTCCGTCTCCCAGCCTTGCCACAAGCACTGCTGTGCAGGAGGGAGACGTGGACCTCCTGCCTGGGAGCCTGGGCAGTAGCCCACAGACCCTGGCAGGACTCTCCAGCGTGTGTGCAAATAGACTAACTGAAGGCCTGTTAAGACCTCCCCCAGGGAATGGATCTCCAGGGCTGGGTGTGTAAGTTCCTGGGAACCACGTTCCTCTGACCTCAACATTTTTTCTTTATTCAAGATCGATTAATTTGTCGAGAACTTCAGCCATGATGGGAAATAAAACGTCACAAGTGGGAACGGGAGAGAGTGAAGCCGGTTCTACCCATGAGCTTTGCTATAGGGTAGCAAATCGCTGGAGGGATTCACAGGCTCATTAGGAGTGTCTGAAGCTACAATCAGTTTTTGGTTTTCTTTTTGCTTGCTTTGAACTTAATCAGCCACAGGGCCAACTCCTCCCCTTCTGGCTGCTTCCCCAGGTCAAACTAACTGCCGGGCTTCCCCTTGGGAGGGTTCCCTTGCGGCTCAGATCTGGGAGCGACCGACTCAGGTGAATGATTAGGGTGAACGATTAAGACTCTGCCCAATGCCACCCTTGCTGAATTGGCATAGGTGCCACCCCTCAGCAGCTCAGCTTCTTCTGTCACTCGGGACTACAGCTGCTCGGCCTCTCATCACGCCCTTCAGTCTTTGAGGCTGGAGAGACGAACCTACAGGGCATAAGTCTGGGAGGAGGCTCACAGTAAATCCGCCAATTCACCTGGCACCATCCCTGAGAGCGCTCCTGGGCCCGCGGTGGAGACTCGCCCGCTTTGGGAAGGTTCTGTCGCCAGTGAGTGCGGCTCAGAGCACGTGGCCTTAGCCAATCTGTGGACAGGAGCAAAGCTCCCTGAAGGCAAGGTTCATTCAGGGTTCCCACCCCACTTGGGTTTGCCATCTCGCGTCTGCATCTGGCCCTGAGGATGCTACTCGGGCAGGCAAGGGCACAAGGACTGAGGCCGGTGAGCTAAAGGAGTACCACCCGTCCTGGTGAGAGGGAAAACCAGCCTCTGATGCCTGCCCTGACGATGGCGGAGCAGCGCAGGGGTGTTGCACTGGAGATGCTGATGGGACCATCGCTCTAGCCAGCCCTTCAATTCCTTTACAACATCCTCACCCTCCCTTCGGATCCACCAGTGACAGGGCAGCATTCTAGGTAGCCCAGCTCTACTTCGGGAATTTGCCAAGGATGGTGAAAAATTTTACACTCCTGCTGTGGACATCTCAGGGATCCTCTGAGAGCAGGAAGGTTGAGAAGACCTTGTCCCAGAGAAGGATTCCCTTCTCTTGCTCAAAAGGTGCTGGCCCCAGGCCCTATCAGAGTACGACTTAGCGAAGTTGTCTTACACCTGCCAAAGTAACAAACAGAGCACTATTATATCGTGCCTTTGACTCCCTGGAGTATTCCTCCAGGTCCCAGGAGGCTGCAAAGCTGGTAACCTTCAATAGGCTTCCTTGGCATTGAACAAAAGGGGTGTTTCTGTGGGATGCTTACAGAAATCTCTTTTTATTTCATCAAACAGACACTGGCATTTTCAACTTCTTCTCTTTGCCTCTCTCCTCTCTCAAAGATAAGAGGCTGAATTCCTGACTCTGATCTCCTTGCCTCTGCTCTTCAGTCAACTGGCCTTTTAATCTTATTTAACTTTATTCTTTGTTATTTGTGGTTATGCAGGAGACACTGGTTCTCTAAACAGGAAAATATTTTGGCTGCTGAAAAATATATTCTTTTGGTTTCTTGCTTCGTATCACTAAATTCCACCACGCGGTCTTTTTCCTCTCTTTCCTCCCTGTCCCTTCTTTGCCATTGAAAATTATGTAATGCCTACCTGGTTTGGGTTATAAAGTCGGTCACTTGGACTGTGTCTACAGCAGCTCTGACTGTGGTGTCCTCAGTGAACTGCAGACACTCTACAGGTGACTTGTTAGTCCGACGATCTGCTTGTGCTGAGAAGCCAGAAACCTTCCGGGCAGCCAGCTGATCTGTCCCCCTTGAAGCCTTTGCTCCTAAATCACAATCACCACCACAATAACAGCAGCAAAGTTCAAACGAACTGAATATGTGTTGTTTGCCCGTGCCCTGGGTTGTCCCCTCCAGGCTGGGTTCTGGCTTTTCCATAGAGCTGGCCGCAGAGAAAGCAGCATCCCTTGGCAGGAAGCTCCAGCACTGGAATAGAGGTTCTTTTTCTCAGAAGCAGGAAAAGTAAGAGAAAATGCACAGAAATGTAGTCCTAAGCCCACCCCCCAAATTCACCAAAAGTTTCATACAGTTCCCAAGTCAACAGGGCTCTTTCTTTTTTTTCTTTTTTTTTTTTTGCGGTATGCGGGCCTCTCATTTGTGGCCTCTCCCGTTGCGGAGCACAGGCTCCGGACGCGCAGGCTCGGCGGCCACGGCTCACGGGCCCAGCTGCTCCGCGGCATGTGGGATCTTCCCGGACCAGGGCACGAACCCGTGTCACCTGCATCGGCAGGCGGACTCTCAACCACTGCGCCACCAGGGAAGCCCAACATGGCTCTTTCTTCAGTGTAAAGAAATTTCTACAGGAGAAAAAGATCAGCCAAGAGACAAAATTCGAGGCAAACCCTCTATCTTTTCTCCCCCTAAGCCAGGCTGTGCACTTTGTGGACATTTTCAATTTAAGATATCCCAGATATGAAAGTGGTTATGATTGTGAGATAGACAACATACCCGGTTGAAAAATGTCATTTCCTCTTTAAGGAAGAGCTGTGATCTATTTCGTTGTACCAAATGGCTAGGAAGAATAATAATTCCCACTAATCTTCTGTGATTAGGGTTATAATAGAAAGGTTTCCAAGGTGTCATTTTTATAGCTATAAATTTACCCTAAAGGGGATGGAATTTCAGGAAACAAAAAAAAGTTTTCTAAAAACTTTTTTCAGAAATTGAAAATAGAAAATAATCCAACTCATTTAAAATATGTTCTTCCCCTTTACATTTTACCTTTATAGTTTTCTAAATAAAATCTGGTTATTTACATGAGCAATGCATGTAACCTATCTTGATATTCTAAAATGAGGTGATTGTAAACCTGTAAATGAGACTGAAAATTAAGATTTTGTGTATTTCAATTCCCACTACATTTTGCAGCTGTCTTACTCCCCAAAATTCCAAATTTGTACTCCAAGGCATCAAAATTTCCCAAAATATATCTATCATCATAACTAAATAGAAACCCAGGACTGAATGAATATAAGAAAAGCAAAGACTTTGATAAACTGTCCAAAAAAAAAAAAAAAAAAAGCAGGGGTAGGGGTTGGTCATAGCCCAAAGCATGGGTGTGAGTTTTAGAAAATGCAGCTCTCTTTCCGGCCAGCATGGTC